GGTTTTGTTCAAGTGACCACCCTCTTTCGATCCCCCACCTCCACCCGTCTGAAAATATTTTTTTATTGAATTTTATTTGAATTATAGTGTATGAAAATTGTCAAAATAATCAACTTTCAACCCCCATAACTTTTTATGGGGGTAAGACCGCCGCAAATTTTTTATGGGGTTTTACTCAGGCGACCACGCTCTTTCGATCCCCCTCTACCCCCACACCCTTGGGGGGGGCATCATCTAACCCCCATAACTTTTTATGGAGGTGAGACCGCCACGAACTTTTTATGGTACAGTGGTGGGGGGAGACCTCCTCTTTTGATCCCACCATCATCTAGTCATTTACCAGAAATTTAAATATTCCGTTGTCCTTTTAGAGAAAATCGATTTTGACAAACAGACGAGACAGACAGACGCCTGAATTATTTTATAACAAGAGTTGTACACATTTTGAATCAAGATAAAACGGAAAAATGTAATTCTAAAAAAAGAATATATCAATTGCGAAACACTCAGTACGTTTTTTTTTTGTATCTGCAACTGCGTATCTATTACTGCGTACACTTTACAAAATGTAACAATGTAAATATTTTAAGTGATGTAATTATCCATTAAGCAAATCCAATCGAGTAGACACGCACTTGTGGACAGGTGACAGACGAGACAATGTAAACAATGCCCACAATAATGTTTTCCTTTATCTGATTGGAAATAAATATAGACTGAAAAAATCGCGGAACAACAAAAAATTGGGAATAATAAATAATTAATTACTAATTAAAGTATGCACAACAATCAATTTATCAGAGTAATATTATGTAACTAGGCCCACCATGTACCTGTATAAGCGTGTTATTTTTATTAGGTTTTACAAAACTGAATACGTTTCCAACCACGTATGTATACTTAATCAAATACATTGTCAAATGCTTCAATTATTTAAAACAGCTTTTCTAACTTTCAATTGTTGCGAATCAGTGTTGTTGACGAATCAGAGGTTTCGAATTTCAAATGCTATCGAATCAGCGCTGCGTTATGTTTCAATTGTTTCCATTGAAATATCAGAGCTATCGCAGACAAATTGACGCTATTGTGCTTCGATTATTGTTATCGAATCAGTGTTACGTTATGTCTCAATTGTTAGCGAATCAGCGTTGTTGTACGTTTCAATTGATAAATCAGAATTATCGTATGTTTCAGTTGTTGACGAATCAGAGGTTTCGAATTTCAAATGCTATCGAATCAGCGCTGCGTTATGTTTCAATTGTTTCCATTGAAATATCAGAGCTATCGCAGACAAATTGACGCTATTGTGCTTCGATTATTGTTATCGAATCAGTATTACGTTATGTCTCAATTGTTAGCGAATCAGCGTTGTTGTATGTTTCAATTGAAAAATCAGTGCTATCATATGTTTCAGTTGTTGACGAATCAGAGGTTTCAGTTGTTGACGAATCAGAGGTTTCAGTTTTCAATTGTTATCGAATCAGCGTTACGTTTTGTGTTTCATTTGTTAGTGAACCAGCGGTATTGTATGTTTCATTTAAGGAATCAGAGTTATCGTATGTTTCAGTTGTTGAAAAATTAGCGCTATCGTGTTTCAGTTGTTATGGAATCTGAACTACGTTATGTTTCAATTGTTAGCGAAACGGCGCAGTTATATGTTTCCATTGAAATATCGGGGTTATCACAGACAAATTGAGGCCATCGTACTTCAATTATTGTTGTCGAATCAGCGTTACATTATGCCTCAATTGTTAGCGAATCAACGTTGTTGAATGTCTCAACTAAAAAATCAGTTATATCGTATGTTTCAGTTATTAACGAATCAGAGGTATATCATATTTCAAATTATTGGAGTTGATTCGTCTATTTCAATCCTTAATTTTGCCCGCTATAACTACGCATACAGGAAATAGTCTTAAAATTTGACATTCTTATAAAAACACCCCGTACATGCTGATATTTATTTATTT